GCTTGCCAGGAAAGCACTTATTCTACTGAGCTATCTCCCCGGCTCCCTCCCTCTCTCTTTTTTCCTACTTTTTATTTCTGCTGTCATTCTATTTATTCTGTATTTTAGGGAGAGGTCTACAGGGTATGTAGGGTCTCACTACTAGATCGGACTCATAATGATTCTCCTGTTTACAGCCTCCTAAGTGTTGGGATTACAGGCGTGTGCCAACACGCCCAGTCTCAATTGCTGTGTCACCATGCCCCAGGAGCGGGGCCAGCATGGCAGGCCTGGGTATTGAACCCCGGCCCCTGCACCTGCTTTTAGGTGCATTAATTTGCTGAGCTATTTGGCCGGCCCTTCTGCAGTCATTCTGATAAAGTATTTGGCATTTTTTTTCTCATTTGTATTCTTTCTTGTTCTGTATTTCTTGGGTTTTAATTAAGATTTGGGGGATTTTAAATGCCTCATTTACTTGGGTATCCATTCCCTAGGTTTATTTTTTTTTAATTTATTTTATTTTTTTGGCGGAACCGGGGATTGAACTCAGGCCCTTGCGCTTGCCAGGGAAGCGCTTATTCCACTGAGCCATCTCCCCAGCCCCCTATTCCCTAGGTTTAGATGACATTATTTTGTACTTAAACAGGAAGGGGAGGGAGAACAGGTTGGAGTTACTATATATGGGGGCAGAGAGAAGGAAGAGAAAAGAAATAAATGTAAAAAGTGAAAACTCTGGGAGGTTCTATCACATGCCTTCACCTGCAAACCCAATACTGGAAGATTCAGGAAGTGACTGTTGGTAAGAAGACTCCGGTAGGGGAGTGTGGGTCCCCGTGAATCTGACGGGGACCTGCGTCCACGCTGCTCTCTTCCCTCAGCTGAGTTCCAGCCCAGGGTCTCTGCCATCCCGGAGTTTGCAGGCGGCCCCATCCTGTCCCCCTCACACCGTCCTGAGAACCCCAGCTCACTTTTCTCTGCTTGCTCAGCCCTGCGGTTGCCAGTGGGACCAGAGAGGAAGGCTGCTCAGTTAGTGCATGCTGTTTCTGCACTCCGGCACCTCAGGGTGTGATTGCCGTGGCCCTCTGAGTTAGTGCTTGGTGTCTGCAGTGCCCAGATGCACCCTGAGAGCAGGAATCAGGCAGCTCTGCCTGCTGTGTGGGCCATGGCATCTTGCCTGAGTGCCAAGCGGTATTCGTTCCCCTGCCTCTTATCTTTTTGCAGGGTAGCTAGGTCTCTGGGCGTGGGCTCAGCTCCCCACTTATGGTCCAAGAATCTCTTTGCTGTTATTATCGCAGATTCCAGGCTGTGTCTTGGCAACCATGGAGATTTCTGGGGCTGGAGGACCAGTGGTGTCTAGATGATAGTCCAGGACAGCTTCATTCCTGCCTTCTTTTCTGGAAAGTTTTGTGTATTCCATAGGGTGACTAATTCTCTGGATTTGGGCTGGGACACTTGCAGGTGATTGGGATCTATTTGCTATTACTGTCTCACACTCTCAGCTGTGTCCCAGCAGGGAAAGTGCATGGCTCCACCATGCTGTGAACAGTAACACCTCCGGGCGCACACTAGGTGCTCACACAAGCTCACGCTTGGCTTTGCTTCTCACCCTAGCTTTCCCACGTCTATGTGGCACCTGGCTGCTATCCATTCACGGTGCTTTCTGGGGTTCAGCAGGCCTGCCACAGCATGCAGCTGCGTGCGCCCTGACATTGGTGGGCACCTCAGACCTCTCTGGGAGCACTGCTTGCTCCATGCTATCACAGCCAGATGTTTTTGACACTGTTCCTCACTTTCAACTGTTTTTTAAATTTTCTTCAGATTCAGAATCTCTTACCAACTTCAGCGACTCATGCAAACTCCGGTAGCAGGCGAAGCAAACTTACATGAAGGACTGAAGGAGGTTTGAATGCCTATAGCCTCAACCAGATGGGGGCTCCAGCTGGGTGTCACTGTGTCACCTCCCTTCTCTCCCTATGTATCTTTTTTTCTTGCAGGCAAATGATCAGATTGCAGGAGCCAACTTTGGAGGTGAGCGCCTGCCTTCCTCCTCAGGGCAGCTGCATGGAACTGGCTGCCTCTGCCCCAGGCCCTCCGGGAGCTCTGTGCACAGACCCTGTGGTCCCCATCTCAGCTCTGGGAGCCCATTGCTCCCCTGTCCCATGCCAGCCCTATGCAGTGTACACAGTGTCTGCCCAGCATGGTTCTCATGGGACAGGAGGCCCTGTGGGTCCATGCAGGGTGCTTGGTCACTCTTAGCTTCCTGGCCTACAATGGGCTGTGCGCAGAAGGGTAAAGCCCAGGGCCTGGGCAGCCAAGAGTCAGTGTGAGGAGCCCGCGTTGTCACTGGGCCAGGATTTCCTCACTTTCTTTGCTCCCATCTTCTGTTGGCCACTTGCTCTGACTCTTGATCCCCCACCATGCAAATGGCTGTGTGAGCCAGGACAGATGCGCCTCTGCCCTGTAGGCTGGCAGCTCTGGGCAGGGAGTGGATAGAGATGGCACTGGGAAGAACAGAGGCCCCTGTCCAGCAATTGGGCCAGTGTCCAAAGGAGAAGGCTGTGTACTGGGCCACTCCCTCCCTGGGCTCCCCTACAGGTGGGCTGTTTTGTGGATGCATGGCTGGGCTGCCCTCCGGGCAGAAGGTGTACCTTTGGGGGCCAGTGAGATTTTAGATAAGCCAATAGGAAGAACTCTAAACCCCAGTCTTCTCATCTGTAAAATGGCCTTGGGGGATGTCCCCTTATTCTGGGGTCTCTGGGTGGTGGGCCTGGGGTCTGGGCACCTATCCCAGGAGCCTGAGGTGTAAGGAAGAGCACCCAACCTATTTGCCATGAGTAGTGTGGCCCTGGCAACTGGTGACGGTCCTGGATCCCTGTCTGGTCATTCCTGAGCCTTGCCCACCAGCCCCTCTTGCTTCTCTGACAGCCGCTAGAGTGTCTAGCATGATCATTGCTTTACTCAGTGGGCCACTGACACCAGATGCATTGAACCAGACTATGGTAGAGGTGAGTGGGCTTGTCCTCAGTGTCCTCTACTCCATGGTGTGCCTTTTGACAGCTTAGGCTCACTCATTTCTTTTTCTTAGGTTGAAAGGGCTCGGAGAATGGGAACATACATGTACTCCGTTGGTATCTACGGCTCTGATGCATTCCAGGTACTTCATATCAGGTGACTAGGGGCCCTTCTGTAGCTTCATTGAGGATAGGTCTCTAGTATGGCTCCCCAGGACTCAAGAAGGCATGAGCAAAAAGCAGGTGGACACGCAGAAGCAAGACCATGGGGTTTCAGTACACGGCACCCCAGGGCAGGTGGCAGAGCTTTCCGTATCCTGAGCTTGGGCTGCAAGCAGAAGCCAGCATCCATCCTTGAGTGCCTGATTCTCTGCTATCTCTAGGTTCCCAGGGCTAGGTGTGTTTCCTGGCTCTGGTGCCCCAGCACACCTTCGAGTCTCTACACAAGGTACTATAACCTGTTTTTCTTTCTCATAGCTGGCTGCAATTGCAGACAGCCCAGAACATATGTTCAGGGTAAGAGGGACACCCACGGACCTCCACGCAGTGGTTGACAATGTGCGTGAGTGGGCGGGACGGGGGTGAGCAGGGGCAGCGGCATGTCTCCAGGGTCCTAGGCTCACGTTCTTCCCTTCTCTTCCTTCTCCATCTCAGATCGGAACAAGTGCTTGTCTGGAGCTCAGAGCTGTGCAACCTTCGCCTCTGTGCACAAGTGAGAGCTGAGCGTCTACAACCCTGGGGTTCAGGGAGTTGTGTGCCCAAGTGTGTGTGCATGGTGTGTGTGGCTTGTGAGTGTGTGGTCTGTGTAATGTGTGATATATGGTACAAGTACTGGAGTTGATGGTCCTGTGTAGGTGCGTTCTGTGTATCCTGGTTGTGGTGTGTGTAAGTACCTGATGTACAATTTGTGTGTCTTATGTGTATATTTGTATCTTATGTGGTATGTTCTGTTGGTTGTGTGCGCTACATATTGATCTTAATGTACCAGCTATATGTGGTGTGTGTAGAATATGTAAAGTGTGTCTGTTTTCTGTGTGTGCTAGCTGTGTTAGTATATGGGAGTGCATATGGTGTGTAGTAGGGGTGTGGTCTGTTTGGGATGTAGGCATTGTGTGTGTTTGTAGTATGTCTTGGGGGTGTGGGCATAGTGTACTGTGATGTTAGTGTAGGTGTACTTGTGGGGTTTATGGTGTGCTTTTAGGGTGCTGCATGTGTAAGGAGTGTGATATGTGTCCCTTGTTGCGGGTGTCTTCAGGAAATGTGTGATAGGTTTATGCATGGTAAGGGCCATGTGCATGGTGGGGTGCAAAGTGCTGGTGTGCTGTGCGTGCATTTGAAACTGTGTGGTGTCTGTGATGGAGTAAGTGTGGACATGTAACTGCACGGCTCTGCCTTGTATATGTAGGAAGTGTACATTCGCTGGGGGTAAACATCAAGAGTGGGAGTGTGTGTGTGTGTGTGTGTGTGTGTGTGTGTGTAATTATTGTTATTTTATCCCATAATAAAAATGTAATTGTAAAGTTGGAAAACAGTACAGTATCTTAAAAGATTCTAAAGGAACCCCTAACAAAATGTGGAGCCCAAGGAGGTGAGGTTGCTGAAGAAATTATCACCATTAAAAAGAAACTAGGTGCTCTGCACTAGAACAAAAGCCTTGAGGGTGTCTCAGGATTCAGCAAGAGCCCGCCTTTCACAATAGTACAGATATGTAAACCTTTCATTTGAGGAAAGTGCCCCAGAAACCCTGCCTGAGAGTGGCCACTTATGGAATTTGTTCTGTAGGATTCGTCCCATCCTGCCCAGCCATGCAAGCATGCAGAGGCTACTGTGGCCAAGGCGCAAGTAGACAGGACTCTTGTTCTAGCTGTCAGCAGGCACTGGCATCGTCTACATGAAGCTGGTTTGGCAGGCATAAAAAAATGCAAGGCATGCGGGTCCCAGTGAGTTCCACTCAACTTTCACAGGAAGGTGTGGAAGGCCAGGCAGGATGTGATAGGTTGTGAAGTTCCCGCCCAGAGACCCTGAGAGAGTGATGCAGCAGGCTGTGTATGTGGAACTGATCCTGTAGTGGAGACCCAAGGGGACTGGAGATGCCAGGAATACAGAATGTCTTCTGAGGACAGCCAAGGTGGCACCTAGAGCCAGCCCAAGAGAGGCTGGTGCGGTCTACAACCAGCAAGGGCACAGGAACAGGGCTGACAACACCCTGTGGAGCTCACATCAAGGCATCGTGTGACCCACCGGCCAGCACGGGGACACAGTACTTGATTTGCCACACTGGATTTTTTCCTAATTATGGTCCAATTCTTTCTTATCCTCCCTATTCCTCCCTCTTGGAATGAGAATCTTTATCCTGTGCTACTGTGCCTTAGGAGCAAGCGACCTGTTTCTGGTTCTTACAGCGCTCACAGTAGACAGTACTTCCCTGAGGTCCAGAGCAGACATTTTACTTAGGCTTCTGGGCAATGATAACACTGTTGAAACTTTGGAGAATAAGTGTTTTCGGTTGTATACAGGAAAATTCCATCGTGTTATGCAGATTTATGACCTTGTCTTTGTGTTTATGTGGAGATTCAGTACAGCTTCAGGAGGTGTGATTAGGTGTTGGTGCTCCAATGGGAGCATTTTGTAGTGCCTTAATCAGCTGAACATGAATGTCAAGGACAATTCAGGGGTCACTTCTGAATGGAAAGCTGCCTGGGGATTTAAAATACCTGTGCAGTTTGCTCCCCCACAAGATGGTGGGTAAAACAAGGCAGTCGTGGCACTGGAGGAGGAGAGGCAGGGCACACACTTCATCATCCAACGTGGGGCCAGGCAAAGGGCAACCTCCATGACTGACAAGAATGTACACAGTGTCACCCAGGGCCCACCTCACTGAAGTGGGGAAATGGCAATACCTGTCCCTAAGGGCTGGAAGTCACTGGGATACCCTCAGTCTAGCCCAGGTCCCTGCCTTAATACACTGAGGACACTAATTTGCCGTCCACAGGGAAGGTTAGTGTGGAGGTGGTCAGGGACCCTGCCTCAGTTGCTCCTGCTGCTGGTGTGAAGAAGCTCAGCTGTGCAGCCCACCTGGCCCCTGTACATCCCTGGTGTGACCTGACACACAGTTCTCCACGTCTGTGTAGCCAGACAACCCTAGATAAGGACAGCAGCTGCCACTGCTTCCTCCTAGCCGCAGAGCTGATGACAGGTGTCTGCAGATATCAGCTCCACTGCAGACCCTCTACACTGCTGGGTGTCCTGTGCAGAGCTGCCCCACACGGAGTGACAGGGACTTGGAGAAAAGTGAAGGCAGGAGGCCCCAGGTGCCACAGAATGGGCTGTATCCTTGGGCTGGCAGCACAAGGGCTGCGGGAGAGGCTGTTGTAGAGGGTTCTAGGCCTTCTGACTTGGGGTCAATTCAGGCCTGGGTCAGGAGGCTGCTGTCAGGCCAAGGAGCTGGGGCAGGAGGGGAGTGGGTGGGGTGGGCAGAAGACCTGGAGGAGTCTTGTGTGGGGTCAGGGACTTTGCTTAAAGGACACAGAAGGAATCATGGGAATTCTGGGTGGGAAGACTGTGGCTGAGCTGGGTGCTTTTGATGAACTTGTTGGTCAGGGATGGCAGGAGGCGGGTTGTGGTGTGTACTAGGAATTTTGATGACAACAGAAGTAGGATTGCCCTGGGGGACCCACATATTTTGTTCCTGGGAGTTACCCTGAGAGGGCTTAGAGTGAAGGTAGCACCCAGCTCTCTGCCTCACACCTTTGAACATTGTCTTTGCAGATGACAAGGAAGTGATTTTGAAAGGCTATGGCTTCCATAATGCAAAGAGGGTGGACCAGATCATTTGCAGATTCAAGACTGCTGCCAAGAATGTCATCAGTAAGCAGCCCACTCACCCTCTGAAGGCAATATTTTCTGCCTTCACATGGCCAAGCTCTCTGTCCTTGTGGTTGTTGTGTGGTTCAAAGCAGCATAGACTCAGACAGGCTTGCCTGGGGGCAGACCCCCCTGCAAAGTAGGGAAGTGTTATACCCTCAGCTCTCCAGGAGCTTGGTGCAGCAGGTTTCTCCCCCCAGCAGGGCTGGGTATGAGGCAGGGCTGGCCCCATGGCAACTTCTCATCCATCCCATCCTTAGTGCCTGTCCTAGGACCCTGACTCTGCTGGAGGGACAGGGCAACAGCCTCGTGTGATGAGCCTGGTGATGGGCACAGAGAACTATCCAGGGAAAGCTTATTTAGGATAGTTTTTATAATTTAAAATAATAATTTTATCATTTAAGATTTATACTTTTTATAATTTGAGAGGGTTTTTTTTTTTTTTTTTTTTTTTCTGTGGAAACCAAATTTTCAGCTTAAGCAAGCTTGGCTTTAAACTTCTCTCCCATCAGCAGGCTGTGCTGGGCTGTCTGCCCACCCAAACTCAGGGTGTCTGCTTTAGTCAGAAGAGTGCCCTGGCCCTTCTCTGCCCACCAACTGTGGTATTGGTGTCAGCTCCACAGACCTGGCTTTCCTCAGCTTCCACCCTCAGGAGTAAACCATTTCACTGGGCAAGTGTCCCCCAGTAATTCTGGTGATCAGCAACAGTAAATGTATAAAATGCCTCAGAAAGCCAGGGATGATGTGAAAGCTGATCAAAGGCCGACAACACTACCCTTTTCCTACCAAACGTAAAAAAGACCAGAAAATATTACTATGTGCACAGTGAATCTTGATTTAGTATTTTAAATTATAAATGTCTATGAACAGTGTAACATTATATATTTTTCTAATAAACATGACATACAACAGAAGATAAAGAAATAGAAAGAATGAAAACATGACCCCTATTCTAAGCTGAAAATCAAGTACTGCCGGCACTTTTAAATGTTCCATGATGTTTAATTTCATGTGACTGTAATTTTTTAAAGGCCCCAGAGTGGGAAGCACACACTGCTGGACAGTACACAAATGCTTCTTCATGGACACTTCAGTGCCCAGCAGGGGTCAGGTATAAGGAGTGACAGAGACCCTGAACAATCTGTTTAAGGATAGGACTGGGGTTTCCTGCACTGAGTTTTGTTCTATATGGTCTACAGCTGCAGTGTACAGTGGAGACCCCCATCTCCAGTCTTGTAAAAACCACAGAATATTTTTCAACAGACGATAAGCCTATTTTTTAATAACAATTAAAGAATAACCTTTAACCTAGTTCTTGTCTCTGAGAACTGTCTCCTAACAGTGTTCCTGGAGTGTGGCCCTTTCCTAGGCAGGGTTGCCATGGAACTTGTAGAGTTATACCTGGAAGTGTGCTTTGCTCATTCGGTGGGCAATTCTTAGTTAAGCCAAGTTGACATATCAAGACTAATGGCTACAGGCCCACCTATCCCTTCCCACTGACCACCTTGAGGCTGATTTGGAAGACAGCTTCTCTATCCTCCCCTGTCCCAGGAGTCAGCAGCTGCTGTGTCTGATCTCTGAGTAGGGAAATCCAATTTTCTGGGCCTTGGTTCGCTTGGGCCAGGAGGCAGAAAGGGAAGGAAACTGGATTAACCAGCTTTCTAATACCTAGGACCTCATATCCAACTCCCATAATTAAAGGGAGGAAAAATATTGGGTGGCTCATGGTTTCAGGGGTTCGGTCCATGGTGGGCTGGCTCCAAGGCTGAAAGACCACTGTAGAAGACTGTGAAGAAGCAAAGTTGCTTAATTCATGGAGCCTGGAAGCAGCAGGTAACAGTGCCAGAAAGGAAGGAGCCAGGGACCACAGAGAGTGACCAAGGTCATGCTTCCATCACTCAGCCAGTTATACCTGGAAGTGTGCTTTGCTCATTCTGTGGGCAATTCTTAGTTAAGTCAAGTTGACATATCAAGACTAATGGCTACAGGCCCACCTATCCAGAAGCACACGATAGGACTTTTCTGGCTGCTCATCCCAGCCTACAGAGAGGAAGTCAAGGGAGAACTGGAGTTCGTGGGCATGCCAGGCCACAGGGGTACAATATGACTGTCACCTGTGGGCCACAGCTCAGAGAGTGTGGGGAAGATTGTGCTCAGGACTGAGAAGTTCCACTGCTGTAAGTTATGAAACTCTTTCATGTCTCCCAAGCTCCCACAGAAATAGATAAAGAAATAACTGCAGCCAACATCACTCTGAATGGAAAAAAGCAGAAAACATCTGCTTTAAATCAGCAATGAGGCAAAGGTGTCCCTTCTTGTAACTTATATCTGTTACAGTACTTGAAATTTTAGCCAGAACAATTTGGCAAGTAAAAAAACTAAAAAAGATGCAAATGTAAAGGAAAGAAATCAAATTATCCCTCTTTTCAGATAATATGATTCTATACTTAGAGGCCCCAAAACTCCAACAAAAGACTTTTTCGACTTGAACACAGAGCCAGCAAAGTAGCACCACATGTAGCATGTTGAAAAATCTTCAACAACTTTTCTCTATGGCAATAATGAATTAATTGAAAATTCAGGAAAACAATTCCATTCACACTAGCTTCAAAAAATAAATACGTGGTCATCAACCTAACCACGGGTTTTGGTTATCTTTCTTGTTGCTGGGACAAAATACCTGACACTCAAAATTAAGAAAGGAAAGGTTTATTTAGTTCACAGTTAGTGGAGGTTTCAGTCCATGCTCAGCTGGCTCCAAGGCAGAGCGACATGTGGCAGAGGGCAGCAGTTCATTGCGGCAGAAAACAGCAAGACAGCAGAACAAATGGGAGGAGCAGTGGCAGCTGCAGGGAGCAAGCCTCTCTCCCTTCCTTATATTGCCTCCAGGCTATCTGCCCCAGGGGGGTGTAGCACTCACACCCATAATCCCAGCATTGGATCAATAATTAATCACAAACTCTAGGAGCACACCCCAATGACTCCATGAGTCTTTGAGGGTGGGGATAACTAGACACAAACCATGACCCCAAGAAAACAAACTATTTCTACAATGAAATTATGGAACAGCGACAATCTTAAAGAAGACACTACAAGAGGGATCTACATTTGAGTGTCACCAGAGTTCATATGCAGCGTGGACATATTACTGAAAGCGATCTACAGATTCAATGCAGTCCGCATCAAAATTCTAACACCACTTTTCACAACAAAGAAAAATTCCTGAAATCCATACTTTTTTTTTCCTGAAATTCATATTGACCCAGAATAGCCAAACCGGTCCATTTCTTTAAGAATCATAATACCACATTTGGCTCCCAGAGTGGCGGGGGCTAAGTGGAATACTCACCAGCTAAAGGTAAGGGGGGCCCATTTCCTATAATGGACTGTAGAAGCAATGCAATGGTCTGACACATGTGGGCCTGTGGTGTCGGCAAATTCATCAAGGTGTTCTCAGAATGGAAACAGGACACGAAGTAAATTTTTATTGGTTTTATATAAGCAGAAAATTTAATGTCAAGTGAACAAAAATTTACCTTAAATCATAGCAACAGAGAATCATGGGCCTCACCAAGTTCCCAGATGAGCTAGTTTACATACCCGAATCGCTTGAATTTGGGGACCCCATGTGCCCTTGTGGAAGAACCCTGTTTACTCCCAAAAGTTATACTGTCAGTCTTTCCCCATTCTTCCCCCAAATGGTCTGTAGCCTTCTACCTTGGTAACCATAAATTTGGGAAAGGAAAGGATCAGACATTTTGGGGACTGCTAGGCAATGGTTCTGAACTAGTAATGATTCGAGGAGGTCCAAAATATCACTGTGGTCATTGAGTAAGGATAGGAGTCTGCTGAGACCAGGTGACCAATGGAATTTTAGCCAAGATCTGACTTTCAGTGTGTCCAGCAGGTTCCCAAATCCATCCTGTTACAGAATGCATAATTGTGTTAGACATACACAGTTTTAAGCAGAATTCTAAAATGAGTTCCAAACCAGCCAGGGTTGAAGAAAAGATCTTCAGAAATCTGTATGTGCTTTGAATCAGCATCCACTGTATGGTACTGTGTCTCCCAAGATTTATGAGTACAGAACTCGAGAATGTTACTGCTCACCATTACCCTTGCAACACTTTCACTTCTGTTCCTATGACCTTATACCTTGTTGGCCCAAAAGTCTTAGTTCTAGGGTGGTGGGGGGAAGGCCTGCACCCAGAGACAAAATAATTACTCAATTGAACTGGAAGACTTCTGCTTGGCCATTTTGATCTCGTGCCTCTCGAGTCAATGAACTAAAAAGAGCAATCATGGTGTTGGTGGGGGTGATTGTTCAGACTATGAAAGGGAAATTGGGCCATTATCCACAATGGAGGTAAGGAAGAATACGTTTGCAGTTGCACTTTAGGATATTTCTTAGAATTACTATGCCCTGTTATGAAGGCAAATGGGAAACTATAACCACCCAGACTGGGTAGGATAGCAAAACACCTGCAATCTTCAGGAATGAAGGTATGGCTCATGCCACTAAGTAAAGATTCAAGACCTGATGAGGCATTTAATGAAGGCCATGAGAATTCAGAATAGGTAGTAGAAGAAGGTGATTAAAAATACCAGCTATGAATATGTGACAAGTTACAGAAGTGAGGATTTTAATCATGAGTAATGTCTGTGTTGTATACATGTATTTTAAGTAGATGTTTGTCTTCTTTCTCTGTAACATAATATGGATTAAAATTAATACTTATTGTAAGTATACATGATAATATGTAAGTTACAGAATCTCAAGAGAAAGTAAATATAACCGCTCCCCCAAAAATTCTCAGGAGGAAATGTGTATATTTCCTTTTGTATGCAGAATAGCTGTATCATGTTAGGCGTAATTATGAGCTTGCTATTGTACTTAGAGATTAAGCATAGTTTAAGAAGATGCATCTGATTTTGAAGTTGACAAGGAGTGGATTGTGACCATTAATCATAATGCATCAACTTGAATGTATTAAGAAGTACCTAGCAGATTAGCCAAGCATGGTTCTGGATGTGTCTATGGAGACTAACAAGTACGCCAGCCAACCAAGAAAAGAAGACCCATCCAGATGTGGATGACACTGACCAATGGGCTTGTAGCCTAGGTAGAAGAGTGGGAAAGAGAGGAGTTTTCAAGTTTTTGGAAAACATGCAGTCTTCACCATCATTTTGGACATTGGTGTCCAGCTGCTTCAGCTTCCAACACAGACTCACACCAGCGACTCCACAGTAAACTTTCAGGGTTTTATCCTTTGGCTGCTGAGGCCCCCTTCATCTCTTTCATTCTGTGGCTTCCGTCTGCTGGTGCTAAAGACTTTCTGGATCCTCTGATGACTGTGGTGGATTCATCTAGCTCTGACCCCACAGACAGCCACTGTGAACTCTTCTACCTCTGACCCTGTAAGCACACCTAGTAAATCCCCTTGCATAATTATGCATATATTTACTATTGCTTCTGTCCTACAGCACTCTCATGCAGCATACACCTACGTATCCATGTTATGCAGCACAATTCCCAATAACCAGCACACGAAACCACTCTAGATGCCCATCAGTATGTAAATGGAGAAAGCAACTGAAGTGGATCTACAGAAGAGAATATTATTTAGACAAAAGAAGAACAAAATTGTGCATTCATAGGAAAGTCTATGCAAATGGAAATCACTGAGTCAGAGTCAGATAAGCATCACATGTTTTACCTAATTTCTGGAATCTGAGAAAGATGACATGAAAGAAGAAGGAAGGCTGTTACTACAAAAAGAAAGAAAGAAAAAGAAAGGGAAGGGAAGAGGTGTACAAGGCAGGTAATGGTAGGGCTATGTCTCAGCGTATGATCTGGTGGCTAGAGGATGAATGATTTCCTGGAGACAAACTTAGTTCTGTTATTGAGAGGCCCAGAGAGGCTATTGTTACTGGACAGTGCCCAGCATTCAAAAGACTCCCAGGAGAAAAAAAGCCCTGGATCAAAGAACTCCCTGGTATTTATTTAGAATCTCATGTAAGAGAGAAAAACAAAGCAAAGCAAAACAAACAAACAAAAACAGGAGAAAATCAGTTTGGGCCAGGTGGTATCTCAAGGGTTGGCAGTTTTTTTGAAAGGCAATAGCCAGACACAGCAGGTTCTATTCATCTAATTAGTTTTTTTTTTTTTTTTTTCAGAACCGGGGGTTGAACTCAGACCCTTGCACTTGCCAGGGAAGTGCTTATTCTACTGAGCCATCTCCCCGACCCCCTAATCTAAATTTTTTGTTTAGCTGTTTGATTCTCAAGAACGTGTGTGTGAAAAAAATAAGCACATGTGTGTGTTTATTGCCTCAGTTTATTGATGCCTCATAGAGCCTGTGTGCTTTTGCCCTGCAGTTTAATTATTTGTGTGCTTTGGCCCCTCATTATAGCCATTCATTCCTTGGCTACGAGCCCAACAGGGATGGATATTATAAAAAGGTTTTATGCCTATATGAAAACACCACACTGAAACCCAATATTTTGTAAAATTAACAAGCAGTCAATAGAGACGCATTTAAAAATAAATGATTCTGTAGCTGTACCAAATAAATAAATAACATAAATGAATCACACAAAAAAATCTTATTGTCTCTGCAGGCTTTCCTGAATCAGTGAATGGCATCACCATCCACCTGACCCCTAGGCCTTAAAACCCGAGTGCCACCAGTGGTTTCCCTCAGCCTCACCCCACACCCAGTTCCCCAGCCAGTCCTGAAATACGCTGTCCACACCATGCACAAATTCTAATCCGTGAAGCCCCAGAAAGATCTACCACACTTGGGATAAAACCCAAAGCCCTTCCTGGGCTGATCCCACACCTTCAACTGGCTCACTCTTATATCCTCAGTAGTTTGGCCTCGATGCTTGGCGACTGCCCCTCCTGTATCCCTCTTCCTTCACATTGTTCCTTGGCAGCTCCTCCTCTGGTTGGTCTAATCTCAGACATCAGAAGCTTAGAGAGAATTTAGCATTCATGGCTATGCTTGAGATGCATATGCAATTAGTAAGGACTGTAATTCAAGTTAATATGCTTATCATATGCTCTTAATAAGTACCGTAGTGGTAGGATGACAGTCCTGCTGCTAGGATGGCAGCAGGTCACAAAGGTCACAAAGCAGATGGACATGTGTACTGATATCCTCCCATGTATTTTTTTTTCAGATGAGCGTGCAATCAGGATGAACATGAACACTATAATTTGTCCTATGCCGCAGAAACTGAAGCCTAAACAGTAAGTGTCTACAGTGCTGGGCCTCAGGAGGCAGGGACAGAGTGGTCTCCCTTTGCCACCTTCTCAGGCCTGACTATGGGTGCCCCATGACAGGCAGCACAGGTCTGCCTGCTCTGGAGAGGCATCCTCCGCCCTGCCCTTGTGCGTGACCCTCAAGGTGCCCAGGGATGCACAGAGGCCCGGACCCTGCTGAGAGCTATGCAGGAGACGCTGAGCCAGGAGCCTTTCCTCTGGGTCACCTTTCCCAGCTTGGAGCACACAGCAAGCAATAGAAGTGAGGATGGTGGTGCCATGCAGACCTCCCTGTCACTCAGCAATGGCCAGGATGGCACCATGCGCCATGAGGGTGCCCTCGGCCTGAGACACGCTCCTTGTAGAGGCTGACCTTGCAGTGACTTGGGGAACCAGCTCTCATGATCCATGTGACATCTCTGTGGTCATCCTGGATACAGAGACTTTCAGGGTCATGGCTGTAGGCAGACCTGTGAATTCTGCCCTGGCCATGACCATGGTTCTAGTCTCCATACGCTGGGTCTCTTTTCTGTCTCTTTGGTCTGTTAGGAGCATCTCTGTGGAAGTCAGCCTGAACAATGGGCAGAACTTTCTCTTCCGCAGCATCAGAGTGCCGGTCAACCCACCCTGCGTGAGTACTGGGGGCTGTGCACTGGGGCTGGGGAGAGCCCAGCCCCGGGCACATAGGCACCTGGGGAGGCTGAGGCAGAGGGCCTGTGGACCAGGGAGCAGCCATGCAGACAGTGGGAACTCATTGCCGTGGACTTGGTCCATGGCACGCAAGAGTACTAATTACCTAGGCAGCCTCCTCTGAGTAAGCGTGTCACTGGGGCCAGTCGGGGCAGGCAACGTGTGCTCCCACACTGTCATAGCCACGTGCCCTTTCACTCATAGGCACAAGAGGACACCTCAGATGCTCTGAGCCCACAAGTACCTGGGTAGGGGGTGCTCCCTCCTTTGCACGGAGGCCCACTGGCGCTCAGAGAGGGTGGGATGAGCCCAGGATGCAGAACCAGGAGGTGGGCAGTGAGGCCTAGGGGGACCCAGTTCTCCTCTTCTCCCCAGGGTTCCCAGCACCCAGGCCTCCATCATGTGGCACTGGTAGCTTTCTGTGTCCTCGGGATGTGCTAAGGTGACAGTGAAAGCGGGGGTCATACAGGGGTTTCTGGGCCTCCTTGTCTTGGCTGAGCACAGATTGGGATGCAGGCCAGGGGAGTAGCCCTGGCCCCTTATAAACTAAGCTCACTCCAATTGGATTGAGTTGTGCTGATACAGATGAACAGATGGGTGGCCATTAGCACGGTGTTCCGTGTCCTACCCTGCCACCCATAATTCATGCTATGTCCTGGCCACAGTCCTGGGCTAACTTCTCCTCCCACAGAATCGACCTACACCCCCACCACCGACAACCACAACGACTACGACCACTACCACGACCACAACCACGACCACAACCACGACCACTACGACCACCACGACCACCACAACCACAACTACCACGACGACCACCACCACCACGACCACCACCACGACCCCCACGACCACCCCCACGACCCCTACGACCACCACCACGACCCCCACGACCACCAGAAAGACAACCATGGCCCACCCTCCCACCACCAGCTTGGCTCGACCTTGGCCCACAGCTCTAGCCCCAGTCACTCAGCGACCCCTGGTCAGCACTGCTCCCCAAACCACCCAGCTTCTGGCCACAGAGCCACCAGAAACAAAGCCAAGTCAAGAAAGGCTTTTTGTGCTCCTCACATTGGTGCTGGGTCTGCTGCTCATCCCCATGGTGCTCTGGTGGGTCTGGTGGTTGTGCTGCAGGACGGTGAGTCCCTCTGCGCCAGGAACCAGGACAGGGGATAGCCCCATGCTCCAGCCTATGGGCCATCTCCCATATGCCCTGATCCTGCAGAGAATAATGCAATGAGAACCCCAGAGCCCAGCGGGGCTGTGATCCCAGGGCAGAGGCTGCCCCAGCCCTGGGCCAGGGGGCCTGCTGCCTTACAGGAGGCTTACATCTCTTTATGTTCCAGCCAGAGAAAGAGCCACCACCTACACCCACGCCAAAGAAAGTGAGTCCTGCTTTGTGTCCTGATGTTGCCACAGGCCACTGGGGGAAACTGACTGTCACATGAGGCATCAGAAAGCCTGTGTCTGAGCCCCCACACCAAACTTAGGAGAAGAAAAAAGGACAGAGGGTCTGGAGGGAAGGACAGGAGACTCATTGAGGTCCCCAGAGAGCAGCTCCAGGCTCCACGTTATGCTGCCATGGCCTTCGTCACAGGCAGAGTACCATGAGACTTCTTTCAGCAGTCGCTGTCCCCACTGACCTGACTGGCTGTGTGATCCCCAAGGTGCCTTTGGGATCTGAGCTCTCAGGGCTTTGGGAAAGGAGCGCTGAAGCAGTGTCCACCCTGGGTGTCCGCTGGCTCCTTTGGATTTGTCTTCAACACCATCTCCTGCAGGGCAGGGCTGGGCTGGGAGCAGCCAGGGGGCCACAGGGCTGAGAGTGGAGGAAGTCAGGGGGCAGAGCTGTGAGAGTGTCCCCAGGGGAACGCAGGGATGGGGGCAGCCTGGGGGTCAGCTGAGTGGGACAGAAAGTGCTGAGTGGTTGGCCCAGGGGACCTAGTAGGGGTGTTGGGGAACAGGGAGCTGTCTGGGACCTGTGCTGGCTGCACTGTGGCCTGCAGAGGCGGCATATGCCAGGGGGCAGGGACAGTCAGCTGCCAGCAACCAGATCCCCGCACAGCCCCCAGCCAGGCTTCTGCCAGCCAGAGTGGCCTCAGGAGACCAAAGCCTCACTATGGGATTGGGGCAGCTGGGGCAGAGCCAGATTTGGGAGCCAGGGGCTTCGGGCTGTTCCTCCACGCAGGGCCCTCCCCTTGCTGTGGGTGCTGCTTATTGGGCTTTCTGTCACCCTAAAACCTTAGGTGACCCCTCAGACAGGTGCCAGGGCAAGGCGCCCAGGGACTGCAGACAGGGATGTGGACAGGTGCATTTCTCTCATAGGAGCAGAGAGCCAAGAAGCCCGCGCTTTCTCGTCGCCGTGCTCCTACAGCGCCCCCTCTTCCTGGTGCTCCTCCTCCCGCAGTGCCGGCCCCAGCACCCGCACCACCACCTGTCAGCGTGTGCCCCACCATAATCGTGTGCTGCTGTGCGAGCCGTGGCGTGTGTGTGAACAGAGGCCCTGAGGTGAGCAGTGGGGCTGTGACTGAACCTTCCATCATGACCTGCAGGAGGCTGCCGCCCTGCTGTACTCTTCCTCATGTCCCTGTCTGCTTTTCAGGGCACCTTCATCTTATGCAACTTCAGTCACCCCAGCTGCCACCAGGTGCCACTGATGTGGTCTCCATCCAGTGACCAGGTGAGCAGGACACTGGGACCCTCTTGGACAGCACTGCGCTTACCTGAGGCTGGCTTGCTGAGGACTGTCCCTGTGTTCCTGTTTAATCATCCAGCAGCTACACAGAAGCTGCTATCATTTCCAAGTTTACAAAGCAGGGACGCAGAAGCCCATATAGCTTGTGGGACTTGCTCACGAAGCCTGGGACACACAGAAGGGGCTTCGGTCTGGGCCTGGCTCTCCTTCCATTCTGTCCTCATTGGCTCAGCTCTGGCACACATGCTGGTCACCCCAAATCCCTGGCAGGCTGACCTGCTCAGGCTGGGTCCCCAACATGCCCTCCTTATGTCCGGGGCTCCTGTGCCTGGGCCCCATGCCCAGCTCTGGACACAGTTGCTGTGGGAGGAGGGTGGGCAGTGGCCAAGCCTGAGTGAGGCTGCACTGGGCTTGCTCCCTGAGCAGGGTCAGCGCAGGACCTGGGAGTTTGCTGAGCAGCAGGTGCTCAGTGGGAGGTGGGGTGGGTGGGGCCCTGCAGAGCCTGCCCTGGCCTGAGGAGAGGTGGGCAGAGAACAGTTGTTTCTTAGGGCCAGTTTCATGGATATTCTTCTGGCTCTCGCTGTGGGCTCAGCTTGGAGCTGGGAGGGGAAGGTCCTGCAGTGAGAAAGAGGACTCTATACATGTGTGTGTACGCGCGCATGCACTGGGAGGGAGCCAGAGATGAATAATAAGTTTGAAGGTGGCTCTGCCAAGTGTCCAAGGTCTCTGACCCCTGAGTGCGCTAAGCAGATTGGGTTAGGGACAGCAGCGGAGAGTGGCAGTGTTAGAGTGGACTCTTAGGCTGGGAGGTGGGTGAGTGTGAACTGAAAACAAGGGGAAGTGCAGAGGAACATTCAGAGGAGATCACTGTGGGCTATGGGGCATGGCGTGTGGGGTCCCTAAGTCCATGGATCACAGCTGGAACTAACATTAGAAGGGAAAGAAATCCCTTCAGAAGTTCAGCCAGTTGTAGAGGTGGCCCTGAGCCACTCCAAGCATCACTCCAGTCCCGCAGGCCTGCAGAGGGCTTCCGGCTTTGTCCCCAGCAAGCTTTCCTTCTCCTGACTTTTCCCTTTCTGGCCTCCTGTGTCATACCTGCACAACAGGAGGCTCAGCCAAACCACCCAACTCCTCTCCTGTTCCACAAACCCGTACCTTAACCTCAGCATCACAGTCCCTTCCATCTGGTAGAGCACACAGCCAGTGGTACCAAGGATGTGGACATGCACCCATTTCAGACCCACCGCTCAGCTCCCAGCCTGGGTGTTTGCAGATGCCTGGATGGGTCTAGGAGTGGCAGAGGATGGAGAGCAGCATTGGGGCAGGGCTTCGCCAGGCCCTGACTCCAGCAGCCACCTGCAACCTCTGCCCAACTGCAGGGCACTCACCCACCTCCTCTCTCTGCTCTCCCTCCAGGGCAGCTGCACCAATTTCAACCTCCTGAAGTTGCTGTCAGCTCAGGGCCCCTGGGACCCCAGGATTGACCTTCAGCCCAGTCTGGACAGCCTTCCTATGACCTACTGCTCCCAGTGCCACCACCCTGAAGCCTGGAGGGCCAGGTCTCCCTCCAGGATGCTGCCCCTGCTGCACCCCCCTGCCCTGACATCCTGCAGACCCACCCTGTCACTCCCACCCCCATAGCCCACCCACACTCTACACACTCAGGTGAGAGGCCTTGTTGCTGAATTGGGCACAGGCATGGAGTCTTGGATTCTAATAAACCAGAATTGGATTTCATTGCTGAATAGCAAGGGTCTATCAGAGGCAACATCATGGTCCCCAAATGTCACTCATTAATTGAGCATTCCTATGCCTTTGTGTTATGGCTCTGGGCCCAGATGCCACTAATTGATGCAGTTGAATGCTGGACACCACTGGTTGACCCTGCCAGTAGCTGGTCTCTGTTATGGTGGCCATGTGCTGCTGATAGTGACCCCAGTTAATGTCAGGCCCAGAAGTTGGCACTATTGGCTGCTGATCTCTGCCACGTCCACTCGTAGACACCAATTAAAGCTAGACACTGCTGGCTGCAGGTCTTTTCTGGGAACTGCTAGTTATCTCCAGTCAGCCCTGCCATGCACTGACCTCTGTCACGGTCTTCCCCAGCATCTGGTCCCTGCGCTCTTCAGTGGTGATGACCCCTAGGCTTTGCAGCTCCTTTTTCAAACCACCACCCTGCCCACACTACTCCAAAATAGAATCTCAAATAGGTTTATAGGCCTTTCAAAAACCACAGCCCGATTTTTTTTTTTTTTTAACCAAAAAAACAAATCACAAGATTTGCGGGATCACCATTGTTTTAGTTACTCTTCTCTCGTTGCTGGGACAAATACCCGACACTCAAAATGAAGGAAGGAAAGGTTTATTTAGCTCACAGTTACTGGAGGTTTCAGTCTATACTCATTTGGGTCCAACGCAGAGCAGCACAGAGCAGAAAGCAACCTTTCATGGCGG